TCCCAAGAGGCCGGGAACTCAGGATCGCCAATTCTTTCACCTCAGGATCTTTTCTTCATAAAGTGTGCCTGGAATATATCATAGCTTTATAACCTTTTATAATCAACAAGTTTTAAAATTGCAAAGATGGAAAGGACTAAATGAAAAAATGCAGAACAGAAAGATGTATGTCTGATGTTGAAAAAAAAAAGGTCATTTTCACAATGGGTTTGCCACCAGAACCCAGGTGTTATGCAAACCACCACTAAATCAAAGCTGAACAGGGAAAGGAAAAGACTCACATCAATATGGTCATTATTGGACATGTAGATTCATGTAAGTCCACTACTATTGGCCAACAGTTCTACAAACATGGTATAATCTACAAAAGAACCATCAATGAATTTGAGAGGGAGGCTGCTAATATAAGAGAACGAGCTCCTTCAGGTATGCTTGGGTCTTGAATAAATGGCAAGATGAGTGTGAGTGTGACACATCACCCTGTGGAAGTTTGAGACCAGCAAATACTGCATGAGTCGTTGATGCTTAGGACAGAGACTTTATCAGAAACACGGTCACAGACACATCTCAGACTAACTGTGCTGTCCTGATTGTTGCTGCTGGTGTTGGTGAATCTGAAGCTGCTATCTCCATAGGCAGACCTGTGAACATGCCCTTTTTCTTGCTTACACCCTAGGGATGAAACAACCAATTGTTGGTGTTAACAAAATGGATTCTACCTAGCCACTCTACAGCCAGAAAAGACATGAGAAAAATCATTAAGAAAGTCAACTCTTGGCCGGGCGCGGTGGCTCACGCCTATAATCCCAGCACTTTGGGAGGCCAAGGCAGGTGGATCACAAGGTCAAGAGATCGAGACCACCCTGGTCAACAAGATGAAACCCCGTTTCTACTAAAAATACAAAAATTAGCTGGGCATGGTGGCACGTGCCTGTAATCCCAGCTACTCAGGAGGCTGAAGCAGGAGAATTGCTTGAACCCAGGAGGCGGAGGTTGCAGTGAACCGAGATCGTGCCATTGCACTCCAGTCTGGGTAACAACAGCGAAACTCTTTCTCAAAAAAAAAAGAAAGTCAACTTTACATTAAGAAAATTGGCTACAACCCCAGCACAGCAGCATCTGTGCCAGTTTCCAGTTGAACGATGACAACATGCTAGAGCCAAGTAGTAACATGCCTTGGTTCCAGGGATGTAAAAACCCATGAAGATTGCAATGCCAATGAAACTATGCTGCTTGAAGGTCTGGACTGTGTCCTACCACCAACTCGTCCAACTCACAAGCCCCTGCATCTGCCCCTCCAGATGTCTACAGATTTGGTGGTATTGGTCCCTATGTGCTAAGTGGAAACTAGTGTTCTCAAACCCAGCATGGTGGTCACCTTTGCTCCAGTCAACATTACAACTAAAGTCTGTTGAAATGCACCATGATGCAAGCTCTTCCTGGGGAAAATGTGGACTTCAGTGTTAAGAACACATCTGTCAAAGTTTTTTTGTCATGGCGACATTGCTGGTAACAGCAAAAATGACCCATCATTGGAAGCAGCTGGATTCACTGCTCAAGTGATCATCTTGTAGCACCCAGGCCAAATCAGTGCTAGCTACACCCCTCTGCCGCTTGTCACACAGGTCACATTGCTTCCGAGTTTGCTGAGCTGAAGGAAAAGATTGATTGCCATTCTGGTAAGAAGCTGGCCCTAAATTCTTAAAATCTGGTGATGCTGCCATCATCAGTGTGGTTCCTAGCAAGCCCATGTGTGTTGAGAGCTCCTCCGACCAGCCTCTTCTGGGTCATGTTGCTGTCTGTGATAGGAGACACACAGTCGCTGTGGGTGTCATCAAAGCAGTGAACAAGAAGGCTGCTGACCAAAAGACTTGGCACCAAGTCTTCCCAGAAAGCTCAGAAGACTCAGTGAATATTTTCCCTCATACCTGACACCACAGTCTTAATCAGCGGTAGAAGAATGACCTCAGAACTGTTTGTCTCATTTGGCCATTTAAGCTTATTAGTAAAAGACTGGTTAATGTTAACAATGCACCCTAAAACCTTCAGAAGGAAAGGAGAATGTTTTGTGGACCATTTGGGATTTTTTTTTTTCATGCAGCAGTTTGAACTTATTAGGTTGTTTGTTTGTTTGTTGAGATGGGGTCTCACTCTGTCACCCAGGCTGGAGTGCAGAGTGATTATCCCACCTTAGCCTCCTGAGTAGCTGGGATTACAAGTGCGTGCCTGGCTAAGTTATTAGTTACTAAAATCAGTACTTTTTAATGGAAACAACTTGCCCGAAAATATGCCACAGAATTTTGTGACCCTCTAAAGCAAAATTTAATATGAAAAAAAAAGTACTGAAAAGAACAGTCTTGGCCAGGCACGGTGGCTCACCACTGTAATCTCAGCACTTTGGGAGGCCACAGTGGGCGGATCACCTGAAGTTGGGAGTTTGAGACCAGCCTGACCAACATAGAGAAACCCTGTCTCTACTAAAAATACAAAATTAATCAGGCATGGTAATGCCAGCTATTCAGGAGGCTAAGGCAGGAGAATTGCTTGAACCTGGGAGGTGGAGGTAGTGGTGAGCCGAGATAGCACAGTTCCTGCAGCCTGGGCAACAAGAGCAAAACTCCATTTCGAAAAAAAAAAGAACAGTCTTATACAGCTATACAAAAGGTGTGTTATCTCAGTGGATTCTCACAATTGTGATGTAGTTCTTAGTTTGTTATATACATTTTTTGTAAAAGCTGACGCTGGCAGGGCATGGTGACTCACACCTGTAATCACTGCACTTTGGGAGGCCAAAGTGGGAGGACTGAGCTCAGGAGTTTGAGACCAGCCTGGGAAATATAGTGAGAACTCCATGTCTATTTAAAGAGAGAGAGAGAGAGAGAGAGAGAGAGAGAGAGAGAAAGAAAGAGAGAGAGAGAGAGAGAGAGAGAGACTGATACTAGAGGAGGTTAGGAACTTGCATGAGGAATACATAGTTATAAGGGGAATGCTTGGGTTCAAACCAGGGTTCATCTGAATCCAAAATACCAGTTCTTTCCACTAGACTAGACTGCTTAAATTAAATAATGACAATACTAGCATTTATTGAGCACATACTATATGCTAAGCACTGATCTAAGCACTTTACTCATATCAACTCATGTAGTCCTCACAATAACCCTATGATATGATAGATAATGTAACTCCCATTTTACAGGTAAGCATGCAAGTGACACAGCTAGCAAGCTACTAGTACCTGTGCTCTTAAGGAAAGACAAATCAATGCTATAAACAATGTTTTATTTTGAAACCAAGAGTAAAATGTTCATTTCTTCCTTTTCCATGAAGGTTGTCATAAAGATCTAAAAATAATAACATCAACATTAATTCAGTAGGTAGCTGAGTTTCTCATTAAGGCTCTGAAAGATGAGGAGACGAAGAGACCAATTTGGGGCTCTAAGAATGTGAAGAGTCATAATAATCCACAAGACTTTACCCACTTTACTCAGCTTTGTCTTAAAATAGTATACTTCACATTTATCCTTCAAGGCACAATGCCCTTTATTTTTATTTTTTGAGATGGAGTTTTGCTCTTGTTGCCCAGGCTGCAGTGCAATGGCATGATCTTGGCCCACTGCAACCTCTGCCTCCCAGGTTCAAGCAATTCTTCATCCAGCCTCAGCCTCTTGAGTAGCTGGGATTACAGGTGCCCATCACCATGCCCAGCTAATTTTTGTATTTTAGGAGAGACATAGTTTTGCCATGTTGGCCAGGCTGGTCTTGAACTCCTGACTTCAGGTGATCTGCCCACCTTGGCCTCCCAAAGTGCTGAGATTATAGGTGTGAGCCACTGCGCCCAGCCACAATGCCCTTTATATTGTAATAAACTCTTTCTCTATATAATAAAATACAAATATATTGCAGTTTCTCCTAATTCACAGTTTATGTAAAATATGTATTAAGGCAACAGACTATTTCCTTTTGAAGAAAATTAAGCAGGCTCTTCCCTTTAGCCATATGACACATGTGTACTTTACATGGCTTCAGATGGCCACTACACTTGACAAGTCATCTGTCAAAAGTCAAAACGGTCTCTCTAACAACAGTAGCTGGGATAAAGCTGTGAACATTTGTGAAATTCTTTATTTTTTCATTTATTTATTTATTTATTTGAAACGGAATTTTGCTCTTGTCGCCCAGGCTGGAGTGCAATGGTGCGATCTCACCTCACCGTAACCTCCGCCTCCCAGGTTCAAGCGATTCTCCTGCCTCAGCCTCATGAGTAACTGGGATTACAGGCATGCACCACCATGCCCAGCTAATTTTTTGTATTTTTAGTAGAGATGGGGTTTCTCTGTGTTGGTCAGGCTGGTCTCAAACTCCTGACCTCAGGTGATCTGCCTGCCTCAGCCTCCCAAAGTGCTGGGATTACAAGTGTGAGCAACCACCCCTGGTGGCACATTTGTGAAATTCTACTCTGGGAGTGTCTTCATTTTTCTGTCCCCATCCTAGATGGTCAGTTTGCCCATCTTCTTGGTCAGCTAACAAAAATTGTTCTGCCACTCAGTAGCTTTGTGGCTACTGAGAAAATAACTTAGCCTCCCAGTGCCTCTGCTCTCTGATTTGTGAAAGAGAACCGGAGGTTTTCATGGGGAATAAGTGAGTGAACATGTGTGAAGTGATGAGAGCACAGGGAGTACTTGAAAAAAAATTGTGAGTCTTAGAGCGTTTAAATGCTTAGTGCAAGTATTTCCTCCTGAAGCTCGTTTTGAATGGAAAGTGGTGCATCAGAAACATTGTTACGGTAACTTTCTTTCTTTTTTTCTTTTTTAGACATGGGGTTTCTCTACATTGGTCAGGCTGATCTCGAACTCCCGACCTCAGATGATCCGCCCACGTTAGCCTCCCAAAGTGCCAGAATTATAGGCGCGAGCCACTGTGCCCAGCCTATGGTAACTTCCTATTCAAGGGAATTGCACACTTTTTACAAGTGTTTCATTTGTCCCCCATACCACCAACAGGGACTATCTCAATGATGAAGCCTTATGGAACAAGTGCCAACAGCCTCTCAATGTCGTTCCCTGGAATCTGACTCTCTTCTCCATCCTGCTGGTCATAGGAGGAATCCAGATGGTTCTCTGTGCCATCCAGGTGGTTAATGGCCTCCTGGGGACCCTCTGTGGAGACTGCCAGTGTTGCGGCTGCTGTGGGGTAAGTTAAGGCCTTTGCTGTTTCTTCTCAACATGGGGGAGGCCAGGTCAGGCCACCAGCACTGAGGGAATGAGGGAGTAAGTGTATCACCTGCAGAAAACCAGCCCAGGTTGGGAAGTCCAGTCAGCGCAGTCTGTCAGCTCATGGAGACAGGAGACATTACATTACTGGAAACCAGAGCAGGTTAAAACACCCAGGCTGAAGGTGGCCATAATTTTCAGCCTCACATGCAGTTGACCGCAGTTCTGGAGGCAAAGGACTCTGTCTACATATGAACATTTACAATGATGTTTATATAAAGATTCACCGGAAGTGAGCATTTGTCATGTGGGTACAGTCTCAGCAACAGCACATCATGGTCTGACCTGTCATATTCTCACTTCTTCAGATGCACAGAACATACCAATGTAAAACCTAGATTTGATATGATTTCTAATACAGACAAAAAGGTAGTTCTTATATGGGAAGAACAAAAATGAAATCACTCAGGCTTTAGTCTCTAAATAGTGTTGTAAAATACCAACAACGAAATACTAAAAAACAGACTTGCAGACCATAAGACAGTCTGATTATTTCAACTAACACCCAAATCAAATTAGGCAATTGTTCACACACATACACAAAGTTATTAAAACACAGACTGGGGCCAGGTGCAGTGGCTCACACCTGTTATCCCAGGACTTTGGGAGGCTGAGGTGGGTGGACCACGAGGTCAAGAGATCAAGACCATCCTGGCCAACATAGTGAAACCCTGTCTCTACTAAAAATACAAAAATTAGCTGGGCGTGGTGGCACGTACCTGTAGTCCTGGCTACTCAGGAGGCTGAAGCAGGAGAATCTCTTAAACCCAAGAGGCAGAGGTTGCAGTGAGCTGAGATCACACCACTGTACTCCAGCCTGGTGACAGAGCAAGACTCCATCTCAAAAATAAATAAATAAATAAATAAATAAAAATTAAAAATAAATAAAAGCACAGATTGATGAGGGAAAAAATAAAAGAAAACTTGAGAGTTCCCTAATGGGGGATTATGTAAATATATGTAAATAAAGGTCTATTCACTTAATGTAATATTATGGTAAAACTTTAAATGACTCAAATTATTTTATTTAAATTTTAAATAAGAAGGACAGGCATGGTGGCATATGCCTGTAGTCCCAGCTACTCAGGAGGCTGAGGCACGAGAATGACTTGAACCCGGAAGGTGGAGGTTGCAGTGAGCTGAGATCGCACTACTGCACTCCAACCTGGGCGACAGAGTGAGACCCTGTCTTAATAAATAAGTAAATAAATTTTAAAGAAGCATTACATGTATATAACTCAAAAACTAAATATGTGCATGGGTACGCACAGAGAGAAATATATAAAGGTGTTCAGTTGGAAAGTCTTCCTCCGGCCTTTGTCTTCTATCTACCCAGTTCCCTCCAGTCTCCTCACCTAGGTAAGGTTACATAATTTCTTATATAACCTGTCATAGTATCTCTTTTATTATTTTATTAGTCTTAAAAGAATGTTTCACCAAAACTGCGGTAATATTGAAAATCCTTAAATAACAAAACTTAAATCCTTTTGTTATTTAGCAGGATACAAAAATTGTACATAATATACAATTATATAAGTAGAAGAAAATAAAATTGTGTGAATAGAAAAAAAAAAAACTAAAGGAAATTCAACCAAAAGTTAATCATTTCTAAGTAAGAAGACTTTTTCCCTTTAATCAGTCTACAGTATAAAAAAATTTTCATAATTATCTATTACTTTATAAAAATGGAAAAGACAAATAAATCCCCCAAATCAGCAGTAAAATGCACATTTCACAAATAAATTTCACTGTGTATTGCATTTTATTCTACAAATTTTCATTTCTATTGTATTGTATTTAAATGTTTTGGTCTTTAAACATTACTACCAACTAATAATTCACCAAAGTTATTTTTATGATAGCAGTTGAGAATATTGAGCATTTAAATCTTGTAATTCATCCAGAATGAATTAATGTTTGCTGAATTATAAATTGAAGTTTCGGTTCCTATATAGTTTAGCTGGATGGTAAATTTTCTTTGCAAGATTTATTGAAAATATTACTTTGGCCAGGCACAGTGGTTCACACCTGTAATCCCAGCACTTTGGGAGGCCAATGCAGGAGGATCACTTGAGCCCAAGAGTGCAAGACCAGCCATGAACTGGTCTTGACCATGACAACATGGCAAAACTCTATTTCTACCAAAAATACAAAAAATTAACCAGATGTGGTGGTATGCACCTGTAGTCCCAGGTACTCAGGAGGCTGAGCTAGGAGCATCACCTGAGCCCAGGATGCTGAGGCTGCATGAGCTGAGATCTTGTCACTGCACTGCACCCTGGATAACAGAACAAGACCCTTCCTAAAAAAAGAAAGTAAAGAAAAGAAAAAGAAAATATGATTACTCTTTGAATTGTTGATAATACTCTGCTAAATCTGAGAATTATCTCTCAATTTAAAAACACACTCATAGGTGTCAGTACGTTGATTCCTTTTAGTGAGTTTCATTTATTTGGACACCATATTTCAGAGATCTTAATGGCTGAGTCACTTGACAGTTGAAAGACAGTAGATGGACTCCATGGTTGTTAGTGTGTGGGCACCAGAGACTCACAGAGGATGAACATACACCACCAGAATTGTCTATTTTTTTCCTTCCTTTCTTCCTCCCTCCCTTCATCTCTCCTCTCTCTTCCCCCCCCTCCTCCAAAGTTTTATTTTGAAAACTTCAAATCTGCATAAAGTTGACGGAATGGTGCAATGAACACCTGTACACTTTCACCTATGTTCCCAAAATTGTTAATATTTGCTCACCCTCTGTCTTTCTGGACTCTTGGAAAGTAATTTTTGAACATGACGAAATTTCACTGCTAAATATTTCAGTGCACAAGAGCTGCAGTTTTAAAGTCAATCTGCTGAAGATTCCTTACTTGTGGGCAGCTGGCCTCTCATGGGGCTGGTCAGCATTCCTGCCCCAGTAGGACACTGCAGAAAGACCTGGGCTCTCAGCCTAGTTCCACAGCTTACTAGCTGAGTGACCCCAGCAAGCCGACTAACTTCTAATAGCCTCAGTTATTCCAACTGCCTCTTGCCTAATTTATGGAAAGATTGTGAGATCAACATCTATCTGTTTAGGCAGAAAGAATTTACTGAGAACTTTCTGAGCCTGGCACAGTCCTTAAATGAAGTGATAGTTGAGAACGCGCCTTAAAATACATGCCATGAGACCTGATTTGAATGTCAGCTGTATGGTCTTGGCCCAGTCAGTTGCCCTCAACTCTTCCTTGTCTATAAAATGTGGCTATTAATACTTAACCTACTCCTATGGATGCCAATGGAATGCCTAGTACAAGGTAACAAGCACGAATTCATTTGAACCCTTAGAAGGCTCAGTAAATGGCAGTGCTATTTCCTATTTCATGAAAGTCAGTGAGGTAGCATAGCTTCAGGTTTCCTTGAACACAGTCTCTGGGTTCAGCCTCCCTGGTCCAAATACCAGCTCTCCTACTTGTTAGTGGTGGCTTTCCACATGGCACTTAGTCTCTCAGCACCCCTTACCAAAATTATTTTTAAAAATAAATGATGCATATTGTATATAGTGTATTCTCCTCAGGTGATGGGTGCAGTACCTCATTCAGCCATGGAACCAAAAACCACTTGTACCCCAAAAGCTATTGAAATTTTAAAAAATTAAAAAACAAAATAAAACAAAAATAAATAAATAAAATGTAACTTTTTTGAGGACTAAATAAATAAATAAATGATGCTGGCCGGGCGCAGTGGCTCACACCTGTAATCCCAGCACTTTGGGAGGCTGAATAGGGCGGATCACAAGATCGGGAGTTCAAGACCAGCCTGGCCAATAAGGTGAAACCCCATCTCTACAAAAAATACACAAATTAGCTGGGCGTGGTGACAGGCACCTGTAATCCCAGCTGCTCAGGAGGCTGAGGCAGGAGAATCGCTTGAACCCAGGAGGCAGAGGTTGCAGTGAGCTGAGATCGCGCCATTGCACTCCAGTCTGGGCGATAGAGCGAGGCTTCATCTCAAAATGAATAAATAAATAAATAAATAATGCCAAGCAAAATGAAGCTTCCATTTCTTTAACCTCAACACAAGTGAGTGGGAGATTAAAGCTCTGAAACAAAGCCAGAAAACGTATAGAAAACATTGAATAGGCAACCAATAAGGGCAGGAGGAAGGCAGGTGATGAGAATGGGAAGAAGGAGGGAAAAAGCAAGCATTTACAAAATAATGACGTCATAATTAATTCACCTTTTCTACCTTCTAGGGAGATGGACCTGTTTAAACCTCTGAGATGAGCTGCTCAAACTCTACAGCATAATGACTACAATTTCTTTCCATAAAACGTATTCTTCTCTTCTTGGGATTGTTAATTCCTCTCCACTCCCTAGCTGACAAAGCTTAGAAAAGGCAGTTATTCCTTCTTTCCAACCAGCTTCGCTTGACGGAATTTTGTTATTTTCACATAAAAAATAGTTTGGTCATTTAACAAATTTGATTTATAAATCCTTCAAATTAGTTTCTTTTTAGAATTTACAAACAGGTTCAAAGCAAACTTTTCATGTATTTTTTTTTTTTTTTTTTTTTTTTTTGGTTTTTGAGAGAGTCTTGCTCTGTCTCCAGGCTGGAGTGCAGAGGAACAGTCTCGGCTCACTGCAACCTCTGTCTCCCAGGTTCAAGCAATTCCCCTGCCTCAGCCTCCTGAGTAGCTGGGACTATAGGCATGCGCCACCACACTGAGCTAATGTTTTTGTATTTTAGTAGAGATGGGGTTTCACCATGGCCAGGATGGTCTCGATCTCCTGACCTTGTGATCTGCCCCCTTGGCTTCCCAATGTGCTGGGATTACAGGTGTGAGCCACTGCGCCCGGCCTCATGATTTTTTTTTATTACTAATGTAAAATGTATAAAGCCACATGTACTGCCATACTGCTTCTTTGTATATAAAGATGTTTATATCTTTGGAAGTTTTACATAAATCAAAGGAGGAAAGCACATTTAAAATGAGAAACTAAGACCAATTTTTGTTTTTAAGATGTATAAGGAAAAAAGAATGATTGATGTATCATAAGTATTTATTGGTTGCCTTTTTTGCTGACTTGTTTGAGTTGCTTGTGACTGGTCTTTTGAGCTGTCATCATTGGCTAGGGTTCCCTTATGAGTATTAAATTAAAATCTGAATTCAGAGGTAATGTAAAAAAGATTGTGTGTGTTTTAGGAGGGAGGGGCAAAAGGTTGAATGAATAACAACTCATCTTTTCTACAAATGCTTCCTTCGATCAAACAAAAAAAGTTAAAAAAAATTGATTTGAGTAATAATCTTGTCAGCCTGTTGCCCAGGGTTAAGATAATAAGTATTATTATTCTGTGTATCATATTAAGACTAACTGGTTTTATGAGTCATGCACTAATAGGACATCAGATCCATTCCATTGATTTGTGTTCAAACCCCAGCTCCACCACAAACCAGTTTAGGGGTCCTGGGACAGTTATTTACAAAGTCCCAGTTTCCCCATCTGTAAAAGGACACTTGAGAGACGATCAGCAATATAGGAAATTTTGAAGCAAAGGCCCATGGGGCTGTCAACATGACTGTGTGCAATAAGAAGGGTCTCAGGGATTCCAAGCCAGAAAGTCTCGCTTTTGCCCCTGCCAAGCTAAAAGGCTGCACCATGTAGGTCAGGCACACTGAAAACTGGGTTTGTCAAAGCCATCAATAAAATAATTAACGATCACCTACTGTGTGCTGGCCCCCAGGGGTCTAGGCAATGAAAATGCAAAGAGTTACAGGCTATAGTTTTGCCCTGACTGCAATGAGAACTCTGAGATCAGGGATTGTGTTTGGCACCTGAAACTTAATAAATAGGCAGAGGCAAGAAAGGCAGTTTAGTCTATTTGCTTTCAAACATGAGTGATCATCAAAATTACCTAGGAGATGTTGAGGAATTACAGATTCCTGAGCCACAGCCTAGACCCACTGCGTCTGCAAATCTGGGCATGAGATGTGGAAGTCTGTTTTTTGTCAATCTTTTCTTTCCTTTCCTTTTCCTGTATTTTCTTTTTTTGAGACAAAGTCTTGCTCTGTTACCCAGGCTGGCAGCCATCTTGGCTCTCTCCTGTCTCCACCTCCTGGGCTCAAGTGATTCTCATGCCTCAGCCTTCCAAGTAGCTGAGATTACAGGCTCCCACCACCACGTCTGGCTAATTTTTGTATTTTTAGTAGAGACAGGGTTTCACCACATTGGTCAGGCTGGTCTCAAACTCCTGATCTCTCAGGCAGTCTGCCTTCCTCAGCCTCCCAAAGTGCTGTGATTACAGGTGTGAGCCACCGCACCCTGCCAGCCATTTCATTTTTAAAAGCTCACCAGCTGATGTTGAAAACCAGCCACTTTGAGAAACCATTGCCTGACATCACCGCCTGCAGGCACAAGGATGCAGACTTGAGTCAGACCCTGTTGCTGCCCACTGGAAACTCACACCTCACTGACAGATACAAGGTATACATGCTGAATACTAAACGGTGACCCAGGTAATGATGTTCTCAGGCAACGATGTTCCAAAAGTTCAGAGGCGTCGGGCTATTAGGACTGATTCACTTGCCTGAGTTCTTTGATGAGAGAATTTGAAAGTGGCTAAGAGGCATCAATTCTTTATTCAGGGCTTTACAGGGATTCATTATTTTAGAAAAAAGAAATTGTAGTCATCATAAAATCTGCTCTCATTATTTTATAGATGAAGAACTGAGATAGCCTTTGGCAAGTTTTCACAAAGGGCCATTTTTCAAAACCAGTTACCATAAAATTAGAGGAAATTGCTTACCATGGATAAGAGGACTTAAAAAGAAGAGACGGAAACAAAGGGTAAAGATGAGGGCACCTCTCCCTTAGAGACCTCCCTCCGTATGCACACACACACACCCCAAGGTTGGTCTTCAGGCTGTCCAGAAACTTCTATTATGTGAGTTGCCAACTTCAGTTTGCTTAATGGAGTACATTTCTTTATTATTCTGTGCTTTGGACTACAAGTTATTTGAAGCAAGAAAAGGATCTGATTCAAGTATACACCCTCCGTGCCTAACTTAGCACATATTAGGCAATTCATAAATTTGTCATGTGAATGGAGGTGCCCAGAGCCCTTAATTTTCTTTCTCCTGCACTTCTTTCTGAGGTAGCATCCTTTGCCCTGAAATAAACTGAAGATTTCAAAAATGAATAGACAAGTCCAGGTTCAGTAGCTCACACCAGTAATCCCAGCACTTTGGGAGGCCAAAGCAAGAGAATCACTTGAGCCTAGAGTTCGGGACCAGCCTAGGCAACATAGTAAGACCCTGTCTCTACAAACAATAGAAAAATTTGCCAAAAGTGGTGACACATGACTCTAGTCCCAACTATTTGGGAGGCTGAGGCAAGTGGATTCATTGAGCCTGGCAGATGGAGGCCGTGATCATGCCACTGCACTCTCAGCCTGAGTGACAGGCTAAAACAATAAACATAAACAAATAATTTAAGGCTGGGCAAAGTGGCTCACTCCTGTAATCCCAACACTTTGGGAGGTCAAGGGGGCAGATCACTTGAGGTCAGGAGTTCAAGATCAGCCTGGCCAACTTGGTGAAACCCCATCTCTACTAAAAATACAAAAATTCACTGGGCGTGGTGGTGGGTGCCTGTAGTCCCAGCTATTCAGGAGACTGAGCGGGGAGAATCACTTGAACCTGGGAGGCAGAGATTGCAGTAAGCTAAGACTATACCACTGCACTCCAGCTTGGGAAATAGAACAAAATTCCATCTCAAAAAACTAATAATAACAATAATTTTTTAACAGAGTTGACAAAACAAGTAGAAAGTGGATGTCTATGTTAAATTTAACATGAGGCTGGAGTGATCTCAGTACACAGATCCATTAGTATTAAAATTAAAATTGTATTTTCTATAACCACATTTGCTTTCTAGCTCTGAATGTCATTGCACCAGGCTTTACCTTGGGCCATTTTTGGGATTTTCCACCCTGCCTCAGCCTTCTACTGGGCTGATGAGGAGCACAGGGCCAGCAATCCACTTGAATAGAGGAAAGGAAAAAGAGAAATACTAGCAAGACAAAACCTAAATTATTATCTCAAAATATCAGCCAGCTACATGTACATAATATGCTGATGGACCTGAACTATTAGTGATGATGGAAAAAAGGGATGAAAATAATTTGTGGATCTTACTCAAACACACCAGCCACATGTACAGTTGTCGGCAAAAAGCCGTTATAACGAAGTACTGAGCAAAGTTAACGTGAGTGACATCCAGCTTCTCCTCTCCCTTTCAAACCCGGTAGTGTCTGCCCAGGAACTGAGGACAGCTCTGCTCTGAGAAGACTAAGGAAGACACAGAGGCTCTGGAGGATCTCCAGATGGGGTAAAAAACCAAGGGTCAAATAGAGCATTCTAAGACAGACATATGGTTCTTTAATCTACAGAGAACCAGGAGGCAGCAGGATGTAGCTGAAGGATTCTGGTTTGATCTCATAAAAAAGAAATCAAAACGCATGCAGTACATTCCAATTGAGTCACCAAGACCTGGAATAACTGTCTTGGCACTCAACTCTTGAAAGGCAGGAAAGAGACTTCTAGGACATACCATAATTTATTCCCAGTCTAATCATCCAAAGATAATTTAGGGAAAAAAGAAAGAAAACTAAAAAAAGAATAGGTCTAGTGTTTAGAACAATTAATGAGTGAGGGCCACTGACATTGGCCCCAGGGAGGGAAATATCCTTTCTAAAAAATTACTTTGTCCTGTGTTAGAAACATTAATAGTGTGACGTTGACTTTAACCCAATGTATCAGCCAGGGTTCAATCAGAGAACAAATATCTATGTGTAGACACACACACACACACACACACACACACACACACACACACACACGTTTGCTACAGAGATTTGACCTTACATAATTCTTGGAACTAAGCAGTCTCTGTAAGAGAGTTGTCTTCGTGTCTGATGCTGGAGCTTAAAGTCCATAGAGCAGGCAATCAACAAAGCAGTCAGACTTGGATGTAAAGCCTGAAAAAGAACAATCTATAACCCACAAGCACGAACTGGAACCATAAGGATGGACTGGAAGCCTGTTTGTTCTTGTTGCCTCTGACAGCATGGGTGCCCTGTAGAAGCTGGAGCCCTTTGTCACAGAGCTAACGACATACTACCAGCTGGGCATGGAGGCTCACACCTGAAATCCCAGCACTCTGAGAGGCCAAGGCAGATGGATCACGAGGTCAGGAGTTCAAGACCAGCCTTGCCAATATGGTGAAACCCCCGTCTTTACTAAAAGAATACAAAACATTAGCTAGGCATGGTGGTGCATGCCTGTAGTCCCAGCTACTCAGGAGACTGAGGCAGGAGAATTGCTTGAACCTGGGAGGCAGAGATTGCAATTAGCCAAGATCATACCACTGCACTCCAGCCTGGGTGACAGAGCAAGACTCTGTCTCAAAAAAAAAAAAAAAAAAAAAAAAGGACACCCTACCTGGCCCAGGCAACCCAGGCACTGAAGGAGAATCCCGGGGAAGATGAATGGTTGTAGGCCCATCAGTCCTGTGTCAGTGAGGGGAGGCGTGGCTGGCAACCGTGCAGGTGAGCTAAAAAGCTTGTAAACCTCTAGATCCAGGTCGGCAATGTCTCTCTCATTGCTTGATTTCCTTCCTTCCCTTCCCTCCCTCCCTCCCTCCCCCCTTCCTCCCTTCCTTCCTTCCTTTATCCCTTCCTTCCTCCCTCCCTTCCTCCTTCCCTCCCTTCCTCCTTCCCTCCCTTCCTGCCTTCCTCCCTTCCTCAAAAAAAAAAAAAAAAAAAAAAAGCAGATGTTCCTTCTCTTCTGTCTCCAAAGCTCTTAATAATCCCTCCTGCAGCACACCCTAACAGGAAACACAGGAAAGGGAATTTGGGGAAGGTAGTTCGGTTTAGCCTGGCACACTACCGAACTACTCTACCCGATGTGGAGAAGAGAATGGCTTTTTAGTTGTCTTGTCTTTGTATGCGTGTGATTTATTAGTCTAGGTCAGCGTTTCTCAACCTCTGCACTATGGAAAACCTGCCACATTCTCCCACAATACCCTGCAAGCGTCTGAGTGCCTGTGTCACGTTAGGTCACCTAACCCTTTGTTGGCCCTGGACTGAGAACTCAGAGACTATCTCACCAATGTTTGTACCTCTTTCAAGGACTGGGCCTGGGACAGTGGGATGTTGTCGTTGTTATGGTGGTGTGACAAAGTTATTTTGCTCAAGGGAAAGTGGAAGGGCTGCTCCAGCATTTTGGAATCGGCCATTCATAATAAAAATAACCCTAGACCTTGGTAAGTGATGGGATTTCACTCAGTCCTCAAAACAACGGACCTAGTGCTCACAGTTGCCCATATCTTACTCTCTGCTTTCTCATGACCACACTTTAGTCAGGCCCCAGCTCTGCTTGTCCCCAAGCCTGAGAAGGCACGAAGACCCCCCTGATAAGCTTAGTCAGAGAACCGTTCCTGTCAGTCTCCACACCCTTGCTTGCCCAACTTCCCATTTCTGCTAAGCTCTGCCTACCTCTCCCAATACAAAAAAAAAAAAAAAAAAAAAGCCTTTTCTGTTGGCCTCTGAGACATTTGCAAATTCCTGAGACTGGAGCATTTTCCCTATTGCTATAGTCCTTTTGAGTAGCGTTTCTCCCTATCTAAGTCCATGTTTGTTTTTATTTGGCACAAACCTATGATATGGAAGCAGTGATAAGCCCCATTTTGCATAAGACTAAAACAAGGCTTAAAAAAAATATAACTTTCCCAGGGCCCCATAAGCAGTAAATAGGAAGTGTAGGATCCAAAGCCAGATGGTCCAATTATCTGAGAGTGAGTCCACTCCCTCGGCCACTGAGCTAGATTTCTTACCAATTCTAAAATCATCTAGGAAGAAATGCCTGGGTTCCTATATAGAACTGAAAATAATAAAAAGTGATTTTGTTTTGTTTTGTTTTGAGACAGAGTCTTGTTCTGTAGCCCAGGCTGAAGTGCAGTGGCATGATCTCGGCTCATCTCCTGGGTTCAAGTGATTCTCCTGCCTCAGCCTCATGAGTAGCTGGGATTACAGGTGCCTGCCACCACACCCAGCTAATTTTTGTACTTTTAGTAGAGATGAGGTTTTCTCCATGTTGGCCAGGATTGTCTCAAACTCCTGGCCTCAAGTGATCCACCCGCCTCGGCCTCCCAAAATGCTGGGATTGCAGGCATGAGCCACTGCACCCAGCCTCTTTCATTATTTTGTAGAGACGGGTCTTGCTGTGTTGCCCAGCCTGGTCTCTTATCTTGGCCTCAAGCTCTCCTTCTGCCTTGGTCTCCTAAATACTGGGATTACAGGCATATGGCACCATGCCCTGCTGGGCATTTCTGTTTAGGTCCTCAATGATGCTAATGCTGCCGGCCCAGAGTCCTCCCTTTGAGAACTGCAGAAGTGTTTACAGTCTCTTAAGTGGTACCTATGGTCACATGAATTATTTTTTTTCAGCCTTGGAGAGCCTGAAGATTTCATCACATTATTAAACATCCATGACCCCAGAAAAATCAAGAAAAATTTTAAAAATTGGACTCTAATTAGACTCTAATTAGATTAGAGTCTAATCTAGAGTCCAGCTTTTTCTAGGCAGGGCTTCATAGACTATGATTTTGCAACTGGTTCAGTCTTGGAGCAGTCCCAAGGGTCTATATGTATGTGTGTTTGCTTAAGCACCTGGGCATGGGAGGCTGTATGATGCCAACACACTTACCAGTCCAGACTTGGTTTCCCACCCAGAAGTTGCAATACTAAGAGCGTCAGCTTGGTAAAGAGGGTAAACATGACAACTTTTCCCAGCATCAAATGTGAACATTGTGGAGAGATAGAAAAACAGGGAGAGGCAGAGAAAGATAATTCCTCATAATGCTATTGAAGCAGAAATAAAACCTCTGCAGACAGTCCTGCTGCCTCATAATGCCTACTGATGTTGGGGTCACAAACTTGGGAAAATGAATGTTTTGCCATCACAATCACCCTGAGGATCAGTTACACAACATTTAACAGGCATAAATTATACTCATCCAAAATGTGGCGTGGGAAGTTCATATATAAACTTTAATCTATATGGTTTTTTTCATTCTTTAAAAATGTCAATTTTTGCGAATGTTTTATAATGTACACAATACACTAGAACAGTCACTTTAGAACATTAAAAAATAAACAAGCAAACATACATACATTGGGGATCCATGATTAAAAAAAAGTTTGGAGATTACTCCTCAGGTGTCAAACTTGGCAGTGCACCAGAAGCACCTGGAAGCTCACTGAACAAATGCAGACCCCCAGACCTCAGTCCTTCAGGTTCAGGAGGTCTGAGAAATTCACGTTACATCAACAACTTGGGAAATTCTAAGGTAGGTGAGCTACACGAACTCTACTGTGAACTCTGCTCTGAAAATGCCTTTAGCTCTTTAGTTTTTGTTTTTTGCTTTTTTTTTTTCCTTTTGTACTTAATAACTTTATTCTGACTCAAAATTCGTAGAGCTCCTCACCAAAGGACATATAGGTCAGTGCAAAGAAGAAAACAAACACGTCTTGGTTGCAGTGAGCCATGGCGCCATTGCACTCCAGCCATTGCACATCTTTCTCTGTCCCCTTTCAGTAATGCCCCGCCCTATTCCCAGCCCTCACTGGTTGCACCCCCTGAGCCAGGAAGGTGCTGGTCACTCACTACACCATGACAAAGCCACCTGCTGCCTGCTCATGGCAACTCGGCTCAGCCATTAGAGAGCAGCAGATAACAGGTTGCTAAGCAGATTAATTTCTCAGGGAGCAGACTTGCCCATCTTTCTAAATGATCCAATTTTTCTCCAATATTTTCTCATCGAGGAACATTTTCCAAAAACCTCATAAATGAAAGTCGTGGAAGTAACAGCAAGAAGTCCAAGATGGCGCTGTCCAAAGGAAAGCTTTCTGTGTTAGGCATGGCTCAAGGTGATCGATGCAAAGTGAACAAAATCCCTGCTCTCCTGCAGCTGACAAGTTAATGGGGACAACGGAGAAGTAAGTTCTCTCTCACTGTTAGATGGTGGTAAATGCCACGAAGAAAGATGCAGCCTGGGCACAAGAGAGGGAAAAGCTCACAAGAAGGGAATTTATATTTATTGACCACCTATGAACAACTGGTTTTCACGTAAATCACTTCTCTTCATCTTCATCACTCTCTCATTGTACCCCTTCTTTTTTTTATTATATCAATCTTACATGTAAAGGAACTAAAGTTCTGGCCAGGTGCAGGTAGTTCATGCCTGTAATCCCAGCACTTTGGGAGGATGAGGCGGGGAGATCACCTGAGGTCGGGAGTTTGAGACCAGCCTGGCCACCATGACGAAATCCCGTCTCTATTAAAAATACAAAATTAGTTGGGCATGGTGGCATGCGCTTGTAGTCCCAGCGACTTGGGAGGCCGAAGCAGGAGAATTGCTTGAACCAGGAGGTGGAGGTTGCAGTGAGCCAAGATCGTGCCATTGCACTCCAGCCTGGGTGACAAGAGCAAAACTCCATCTCAAAAAGAAAGAAAGAAAGAAAGAAATTGAAGTTCCAAGTTCCAAGACTTTAAGAAACTTGGCTAAGGCCATGGAGTTAATGAATACCTGCACAGTACTGAACTTAGCTGGTTGTCAGAATGAAGCCCAGGGCAAATAGTAAAGGAGAGTGCCCACACATGCCTTTTATTAGCGCTCACACACCCTACCTTCTCCAGAACTCATTATGCTACGTGGAATGTGCTGGCCCTCCTCTTCCCAAATTAATGTTTCACCCTTATTTTGGTTCTCTGAAACTCTTATTTTGCTCAATGCTAATCCCATAAATTGGTTCTTGTTCTAGAGTGCAGATGGTAATGACTTAATTTCTGCTAAGCCTACAAATTCGTTTTCTCCATCTATAGCCCAATTTATCACATTATCATCCCCAGGGAAGATATTTGGGGGAAGGGGGCTTTTCCTAAAAACAGTTCTCTAATCTTAATGGTGGAAGTGTCAACTTTTCTGGTTGGGTAGTGAGAAATATGCTTTGCAGTTTGGCTTGCTGAATGTCACTTATAAAGATTAGAGTCATAGGTAAAATATCAGTTTCTCGACCTTCTGTCTGTTACAGCTATCAGACTCAGAAATACTATAAGAAAAGGAGTGTGTTGGCCAGCTGCAGTGGCTCACCCCTGTAATCCCAGCACTTTGGGGGCTGAGACAACGGGTGGATCACGAGGTCAGGGCTTTGAGACCAGCCTGGTCCACATGGTGAAACCTGTCTCTACTAAAAAAAACAAAAATTAGCCAGGTGTGGTGGTGTGTAGTCCCAGCTACCCGGGAGGCTGAGGCAGGAGAATTGCTAGAACTCAGGAGATGAAGGCTGCAGTGAGCCGAGACTACACCACTGCACTCCATCCTGGGCAACAGAGCAAGACTCTGTCTCAAAAAATAAAAAAGAAAAAGAAAATAAAATGAGTGTGTTAGTGTACATGACACAAGTCCCATCTTCTAAATGTAGGACATTTGTTCAAACTCTAAGGAAGATGATAGAATGGGCAAGTTTTAGACCAAAACAAAGGGAGTCTTTTATAGGTAAAGAGAATAAAGAATGAGACCCAAAAAGATTAAGCAGATCTCTGGAGATTACCGTTATATCTGTTATTTCTGATAGAGCTGGCACTGGTGCCTGACTTCCAAGACTGAGGTTACTGGGGATTTCATTTGTCTACTCATCTTCAAATCTCATTTCTGAGAAAGCTGAGAAAACAGATGGAATTGAAAGAACTGTAGAGATGTCAGTTCTGCCTACATGACTCTAAAAGTGTAATCCTATTCCAATAAAAATACACACACATACAGGAACTAATGATGCCTACTTCCAGAACACAGTAATTGTCCGCATATATTGTTTTCCTCTCATTTTTCCTCCTGTGCCTTTGTTTACCAGTTTTCCATTCCCAAAATTCTCTGCTTTGTCTTCCCTGGTCTTACCTCACCACCAAACCCCAAATGATCTTTCTCTCCTGATCTTTATTAGCATTCACATAGTAGTATATAAGTTTCATGGAGGCAAAGCCATGATTTCAATTCCTTCTTATGCTCATAGTACCAAACAGATCCTTGCACAAGGAGAGGGCCACCAACTCCTCTCCATTTTGGTTCATCTTCACTTTTCGCTTGTTTTCTTTAAGCCACTCCACTATTAAAAATCTTCCTGTCACTTCTATTGTATAGAATAAACTCCGACTCTGATTCAAAGCACACAAACCTTTTCAAGGATTACTCTCCGTCTACCTTATTTGGTCTCTACTCCCACCTTATCGCCCTCACACTTTTGTTCTCAAGGGCCATGGACCTTCTTGTCACTCCTCTTTTAAAATCCTGTGCTTTCAAGTAGGCCATCTCCTTTACCTGAAATGCCTGGGAAACTCCTTGGTGAATAAGACACCATGACCTTTTTGTGGCTGTTCACATGCCTTTCCTTCTCTACCTTGAGCTCGCATAACTCTTTGTCCCATAATGTATGGCCCCAATTCAACCATGCGATCGGGTTTTCTTCATCTTTGATTTTCCTGTGTCTATTCAGTGACTTTTACATACCAGGAGCTCAGCAAGTACTTACTGACGACTGAATCAATGAACTCTTTCTCTCTGTCTTTCTCTCTCTCTCTCTCTGTGCTGGTTGGTTGGTATGAGTGACGCAGATGTCAAAGAAAGAAGGTCTTAAGAATTCTATGTTCTTTGATTCCCTACAGAGAAACCAAATCTGACTTAGGACCATGGCCCCCAGACCCACCTGACTCTCTCCAACTACAAGAAACACCACTGGTTGCCTGGAAATTTTGGTGGAAGTTATTTTAGGAGAAAATGCTAATAATTTCCTAGATTAATGCTTACAATTATTTTTTTTTTACAAACCCCTTTATGTCAGCCTCTTCTTACTCTTACAAAGGAATACACCAGCATTTAAAATATCTTGCTTACAGCATTGCATAAACACCATAAACAGGAACCAATGAACACAGCTGGCTTCATGGACACAGTTCCCATGGAGACACACAGGGCCCCACAGTCAGAAGAGCCCCATGCTTGATTTAATGCTCTGCTGTCACCATCTTGCAATTCTTATAAATTTGAGCAAGGGACCCCATGTTTTTATTTTTCATTAGGTCCCACAAATTATGTAGCCCACCCTGCCAATAAATACATGATACTTACTTCCCAACATTTTCCGATTTGACAGTTTAAACACTGAAATTCCCATGTCTTCAAAAGCCCTTGGTCCCAGGCAAACCAGGATAGTTGTCATCCTACGTCTGGTGCTCAAACTGCAAACCAATGTGGCATGCATTACTTTGTTCAATAAATAACATGACCAAATGAGTTACAAGCAGAAAAGCTTATTTAGGACACATAAGCCTCCCCAGTAAACACTGTCTGTGACTGCTACAAATTAATATTTCTAAACACGTCTCTCTGCATATTACACTTCAAGGTTTATCAACTCAAACTTTAAAGTTACAAGAAACCTATTTCAAAAACCAGTCCATAGAAAAGGGCTGCAGAGTCTAGGTCAATGGAAGAATTCCAGCAAGACTATGAGCCACTGGGAATTCAGTCATTATTTATCTAAATTTCTGGTTAGGAATGAGGTTGGTAAATTAGTCACCACCTAGTTTCATCATCTACAAATTTTTATTGACATTATTGGCCCATTTTTCTATTGGGCAGTTTGTTTTTCTATTGATCTGTAGGAGTTTGTTGTATATTCTGCACTATCATGCCTGGCTAATTATTATTTATTTATTTATTTATTTATTTTTGTAGAGACAAGGTCTCACTATGTTACCCAGGCTAGTTTCACACTCCTGGGCTCAAGCAATACTCCTGCCTCAGCCTCCCAAAGTGCCGGCATAAGCCAACATGCCCAGTGAGAATCCTGTATTCTTGATGATCTTGTCAAATCTGTGAGGGTGTTGGGAGGACTATATATAGATATACATATATATACACCTTTAAAAACCTCAGTGGGCTTTGTAAATAAAGTGGAAATCAGAAATCTGTGAACATTTAGAATGTTGAAGGCCAGGCACGTGAGCCAAGAAATTGTTTGCCTACAGAATTTTCTTTCTTTCACTGTCTGCCAGGAGGGTTACATAGCCTCTCTTCAGTACCACCCAAAACCCCCAGTAAAAGGAACACAGACAAATAATGAAAAGACAAAAGCTCCAAGTGCAAGTTCAATTGTCTTTATTTTTCTTATACAGAATCAGAGAAGCAAAAACCAGTACCAAACTCCAGGTAAAATGGTTTGATCTGATCGATTTGGCTGCATACTTTTGGTATGCAAAACATTCTAAACTGAAAATAGAAATTTTTATATTACAAAATGTAGAAGTAAATTTTTTTAAAAGTTAAAGTACTAGCACATATATGTGTTAGGGAAATGGTCTCTGTCAATTGCCCATTTTCCCAATTAAATTAATCTACGATTTCCTTTTTTTAACAGCTTATATTTTTCATAAAAGTTGTACTTTCAGAAGTTACTTTCTAATTACGTCATGAGAACACAACTTGTAATTAGCAACACTTCTGTCACTCCAGCTCACTTCTTCTGCAGAGAGCTTTTCTACCAAGTTCGCATCAACCAGCACAATAAATCTTCCACATTTTATCTGCTTCCTGTATATGGTATAACCAGTGAAAGAAATGGCATTTCACATCCTTGATAATATGGTGAAATACTGTCTAACAATTACTTAGATTTAACAGAATTACAATTAGGTTTTGACAATGTATTTACTTCAAGACAACGTATTTCATCAGAAAAAAATATCTTGAAAGAAAGACCTCTGAAATTATTTTTCATTTGATATGCCTTTTCTGTGACAAAATTTTGGGTGAAATGATGTTTACTGGTTGATTTAGTACTAAAAAGACTAGTACTAAAAAGACTAAAGACAGTTGTTTTATAAAAGAAATATACTATAAATAGCACCTTATCAAGAATTCTGCAGGGATTTTAACACTTACAATAATAGGAAATAGCCATTAAAAAAGTTGCTCTAACTTTAGACTTCTAACTTTAGTGTTCTTTAACAAAGGCCATATTTTATGGTCTTAAAAACAAAACAAAAAAAATTATATCTGGCTTTATCTATTAGTAAACGTAAAGGGTCCATATTTTGTTCTGAAAAAATATTTATTATATTCATTAATAAATGTTCTAACTAATTGAACTAAAAAAAATCTTCTAGTATTTTCTAATGCCACAATCTTACTAGAAAATTACTTCTAAAAATTGGTAATATAAATCATCAATGATTTAACTGCTTAAAAAAAAGGGGTATCTGTTTCTCTTACATTTAATTACCTGAAAATGAGTCTATAAAAATATTTTTTAAAAATACAGTAACACTGCTGAGTTTTGTTAGGTCCCTTGTTTTTTTTTTTTTTATTTTTTTTTATTTTTTAGCAAGAATGTACAATTCTTTTTGCAATTTTTTGCTAACAAAAGACAAAAAGAAATAGTGCTCCCTTCAATTTAGTAGCAATAAAGTCATCTACCTTCATCTCTCTCAGAGAGCTTAGGGAGAATGAAAGGAATTAGAGGAACATAAACCAGGGTCCTTCAGGAAAAAGAAGTCACTTCATAGTGATGGAGGCAGCAGCAGGCTACGCTCTTATCTGTCTGCATGCTCAGCATCAGCACGCCCTGCCCCTCCTCCTTCCAAAGCCTTCTTTTCTTCTACAACAGAGTCATTTGGTACAAAGGTTGTAACAGAAAATTGTTGCTTTGTCCTTTTGGGGCACCTCTCGCATCTCCTGCTTGTTTTGCTTTTGGGGTACTATAACTTGTCTCTTTCCACTTCACAACTAGTATCCTTTCCATGATATTCCATAACTTCACTACTTCATCTCTGACCTTTTCACTTGCCTTCTTTCCAACATGATCCAATGTACTCTGTACATGTATATTCCAGTAGATGAAAAGGAATCTTATTTAAGATCTCCAACAAATAAGTCCCCCATGGAAATTGAAAGTGTCTTCTCAGAGACCCAAACTATTAATGTCTTTCAAAAAAAAGATTAAATTCATAGATTATAAATAATATTAGTTCAAAATATTAAACAGTTGAGGACTTCATTGGCAATGCAGGCAGACTGCATGCCGGTTGAACATGATGCTCCCTCAGTCCTTAAAAGCTAATAAAAATGTTTTTGGTTATGTAAGAGGTATTGAGTATATATTTCATGCCTTTTTATACCAAGTGTAGCAAACAGGGTTAGGATAATGTACTTAGGAATCCATTTTACTGAATTCAGAAACATTTGTCTCCACCATACACCCTCAAAGGGCATTTTTTTTTTTTGCACGTCAGTCAGAGATCTGCTTCATCCTTCAGTTTCATAGATAGAATTACTTTAAACACTTGAAATCTAGAAAGCAAACCTGACAAGCCTTCAGCATTTTAAAAGCAACAGTTCATTGCATGTGCCATCAGGCTGAAATCTATGTGGTCCTGATGTTTTCAGAATTGCTTCAAAAGACACAAATACAGTTGCCACCAATTTAGCAAAACATTTGGCTGCCTTTTGTCATCAGCTACAAAATTACAGTGCTTTATAAAATAAACATCAAGGCTGGCATGGTGGCTCACGCTGGGATTACAATCCCAGCACTTTGGAAGGCTGAGACAGGTGGATCACCTGAGTCAGGAGTTCGAGACCAGCCTAACCAATACGGTGAAACCCCGTCTCTACTAAAAATACAAAAAATTAGCCGGGCGTGTTGGTGCATGCCTGTAATCTCAGCTACTTGGGAGACTGAGGCAGGAGAATCGCTTGAACCCAGGAGGCAGAGGTTGTAGTGAGCCAAGATCGCGCCATTGTGTTACAGCCTAGGCAACAAGAATGAAACTCCATCCAAAAACAAAACTAAACTAAACAAAAAACCCAAAAACAAAAAACTAAACAAAACATCAAATTGTAAGCTGCAATTTTTAAAATCCCAAGTTACAATATTTCAAAAACTTTTGTTTGAATAAAAAATGCTCATAATTAGTACCAAACTGGTCTCTTTCACAAGATGTATAGAGTAAGAACTGTGACTAATGCAGCTGCTGCTACTCTCCCATGGAGGGACTAAGTTGTCTAGATGCTCTGCAGTAAAATAACGAAGGCTAAGGTACAACAGGACTGTGTGTGCCTTTGTAAATACAGACTAATAAGAGCCATCAGAGCCAGCATGGATTCAAAATTACATTGTATTCCATACAGTAGAATTTCACTATCCATACAATGATTTTTAAAGCTCAAGTTAAATGGTTTTTAAAGCATTGGGTACTAATGTCATCAATACAGTTTTTGAAACTGTAAATCAGGTCTAATTTTGTGCACATTTCCTGGACCAAGCTGCCCTCAGAATTAACTGCCTGTGGTCAGCTTTTTATGGTTTAAAATCAGTTGATGTATAAATTTCAATTAATACCCATAAAGCTTAGCCATGGGGCAGAAGAGAAGAAAGAGAAAAGCATTCTGCATAATCCTGTAGACACAATTCTGTATAATCTGCCACAAGAATGCAGGTTTGCAGAAAATGAAAATAGAATATTTATTTATGTTTAACTTAAATTACTCTCAATCGAAACCAGGCAACGATGAAACTGGCAACATAAAAAGGAGGGAGCATGAGTCATGGAGGCAGAAAGTGATGCACCTGCAGACTTGCTCTGCTCCATCACCTTTTCCAAGAGGCCCAGGAAATGTAAGGTCATGGCTACATCCAAGTTACAATGGTAGTGATTACAGCCAGGTTAGAAAGGGCTCACTTTTGTTCAGAGCAGACTCTACATCATTGAAGAGGGGCATCAGGTCTTCAGATTCCAAAGTTCCTAAGTCAACGTTTGTTCCTGGAAGACAGTCAAGGAAATCAGGGAAACGGGTCTGTTGGGGATTGATGTTCATGGGTGTTTGTCCTGCGTTTTCTCCTGTAACAGAATGAAAAGAAACCATTTTAATTCCTTCTTTTAGGCTCTTGAAAGAGGAGAAGTTCAAGTATTAACACAACCATCACCTTCATGTCTTCAACTACCACATTATTGACACTTACTCAAGGAGGTACAGAGATGTGGAAGAAATCTAAAATTCTTTCTGGATAGATGTGGTCCAAAATGGAAAACTCAAGGAGATGAGAAAGGAGCATGTGAAAGTCACTGTGGATTTGATTTATGATCTGTGCCTTCCTGTGCCAGAAATGCTGTGAAGAACTGTTTTGCAAAGAGTAGAGAGGCCCTCTCTGTAATAAACATCTTATTACAGAACTATAATCTACAGGTTTTATTGTAGGCTTACATTTACCCATACCATCCTTCTTTATGTTCAAAAAGAATGGTATGAAGCTTCTTTTAACAAGATTATTAAAAAGTTGTCTTCATTGACGTCTTTAGGCATCATTTACAAAGGGAGTTCTGCAGACGTTCTCCCTCTTTCCTTAATACATACACCCTACAGCTATCTACCTTTCTCACAAGTATATGAGCCACAATGCATATGAGCATGTTAAGGCTTTGGGTCTTAAAGAAATATTTTGTTTTCTTTTAAGCCACTATTTCCTAAACCCATTTAATCACCTAAACCTATTTTGGCAGTATGTGTATCCTAATAAAACTGAAGTTCTACAGAACACAGGTGAGAAAATGCTGTACTAGACTAAAAGTAAGTGTCTGGGATATGACATGAAGGATATAAGTTCTTTATGTGTGCTAATATGGGATAGAATGTACTACTGACTTTTGTGTCATTAGACTGAGCTTTGTGGCTATGTAAGCTTAGACGCACTTAACTTGTCTGATTCTCAGTTTACCCATCTGGAAATTGGGATTATAAGTGCCTCCTACAAAAGTTGCAGTAAAGTGCCATATAGTGTCTGCCACATATCCATGGCTCTAGGTGTCATTGATATATAGAAAGTTATATACATACAAAAGTATAATAAATGTTGATTGTCCTGACAGAAAGAAAAACCTAGGAATTCAGCCACTACTAATTATACAATATCAAAACAACAGGTTAATTCAAATAGTCCCAAACAATTTTCTGAAGGGATAATATCTACTTCAAAGATTGAGAAGCACTGATAACTAAGACCAGCTTCCACCATAATGCATTTTAAAAACTTGCTAAATTATCTTTTGTGTGTTACAAGTACGGTAGCCTTCCTGAAAAGTGTGCATGGAAGTTTCACTATTTTAAGCAAAGTTACGTAAAGTTCATTTTAGCAATCTGTGTTTTCCAAGAAGAAAAATCATATTCTTCCAAATGATGAAGGAACCATAATCCAATTTGCATTTTGGTGACAGCAAAACACAATGGCTTTGCTAGGAGTCACAAAATATCAATGACTCCTGGGCAATATTTTTACAGGATTCATTGCAAGGGGCAGTAATCTAAAAAATTAAATCAAGTTCAACAATATGACCTCAATCTAGTTACTGATATTAAAATACAACATCAAAATAGAAAACAAAATCTAAAATAACTTTCTTCTACCCACCAGAGTGTAACAGATAAAAATGAGGCTTTAAAAAGTATCTGTTCTAAAAGAACTATCTGATCTAAAGTGCTGGATGTCTTCTTTCTCTTTAGCTCCAGTTGGAATCATTCGTTTCTACTAGTTTCCCATTTTAATATTCAAATACTCAAGAAATACAATTTTTAGCCAAGCAAAATATCTGCTTTAAAGAATTCCTAGGCTAGGTGTGATGATTCATGCTTGTAATCCACTTTGGGTGGCTGAGGTGGGTGGATCACCTGATGTCAGGAGTTCAAGACCAGCCTGGCCAACATGGTAAAACCCTGTTTCTACTAAAAATACAAAAAAAAAAAAAAAAGTGCCAGGCTGGGTGGCACATGTCTGTAATCCCAGCTACTCAGGAGGCTGAGGCACAAGAATAACTTGAACCCAGCAGGCAGAAGTTGTAATGAGCTGAGATCACACCACTGCACTCCAGCCTGGGTGACATCGTGAGACCCTGTCTCCAAAAAAAAAAGAATTCCTCTTATTCTCAGGAGGGAAGGCATGAAGAGACTGGCTAAGCTTCTTCATTAAGGTTAACACTCTTAAAATAGAAGCAACTCTGCAATCACACAGTAATCTTTTTGGTCTTTGCAGTTTATCTATTTAAAAAGTGGAAGAGATAAACACAAGGCAATTCTTAAAAGGGTATGATTACTGCAGAATATTCTGGAAGGATGGATGATTTCCCAGCCTTTGCCCATGCTATTCCCTCTACTGGATCCTCACACCAAGCCCAGCTGTTGTTTCTGTGTGTGTTTTGCAGAGGGAGTGCTCAGCTGGCTCATTCCCTGCCAGTGCGTGGTCCACAGGCCTGACAGATCTTTTCTAGTCACACTTGAGCTCTGTCTGCCCCTGCCTCCAGGTGGCTTTTCTTCATCTTGTTACTGTATAATTACATTTCTACCCTTGAGAAGATTTATGCCCATTTCCTACAAAGACTTCACAGAGTTGGCCCCACACTCAATGAGCTGACCCTCACTTAACCAGGTTAACCTGGCACTCTGACATTGAGCAAGTCAATTTTGTGCATGACATCAGCCTTCTTACTGGAGAAGAGCACTTTGAGTTGGGCTCTGTGATCTCATGACTCCTCATAACTCCACCATAAGCATATCACTCCCACTTTATGGGTAAGAAATCTGAGGCCCACAGAGGTGATACAACTCACCCAAAGGTGCTGCTACCAAGAGTGGAGAAACAAGGATTCAATTCAGGGGTCCGTTGGCTAAAACTGTGTGCTTTTCAGGACATCATTTAATTCCACGTTATGGCTTTACAAAAACACTCCCTATTTACCAACTTGAGGTCATTTGAAAGAGACATAGAATAAAATCCATCCTCTTTTATGGTTTTGTTTTTTTAAACATCAAACTTAGATTTAGATCTCCTGAGCTTTTTTCCTTATTTAACTCTGCTTTGTATCCTTACTGGCTTCCCAGTGTTTGAAAGATGAAAGTAAACAATTATTAAACATAGGAAGGAGCCACTTCGTAAGGCTATTCCAAAGACAGCAAAATAAATCTCACACTCAAAAAACAGAGAGAGAGAGAGATGAAAGTGGCAGGGGGTGCAAGTGGGAAGAACTGAAGTAATAAACTGAAGAACAGTAAAACAAACAGTACAAACTATTCTGGTGTGACTCCTCACAAGCCAGTCTGTACAATCTTCTCAGTGCAAAGATGACAGCCTACACCAAAGACACCAGGAGAGCAGCTTTAACATACTGCATTTGTAAGACACAAGTTTGACCCTGGTCTTTCCAACAATTTAGATTCACAACACAGAGAGGAGCCATCTAAGAGCAGAGTGTAGAAAACCACAGGCACTATGGTAAACAATTTTCAGAAAGCAATTATTTATATTAATCACAGAAACAATTACTTTCCGATCATCAGTGACAATGGAGGAGGAACTTGCATGAATAACTCCAAATAGTGGATGTGCCGGCTGTCATTTATTTTTGGTTCTAGAATATCTTCTGAGAGTTTATGACTTTGATAATTAAGACTAGATAAAGCTAATAAGATTAACATCAGTTTCTGCAATTGGAAGTCTCACTCCTTGAGAAAAGGAGAAAAAGAAAGGTGATGGGAAAGCCTGCTGAGGCTGGGCCTGAAGGGCGCACAGGGTGGAGACCAGGTGAAAGTAACCCTGACTCTCTTATCTTTCTTTAATCACTGAGGGAGGATATTGCTACCATGTTGGAACTTGGAACCAACAATTTAAAGTCCTCTGAGTTGCTCAACCTTCCAAATGCCCACTGCCAATTGCTTTTTAAATGCAGTGAATGACATGAAAAAATTTGCTTACTGGAGCTATAAACCAGTGTCACTTTCCAAGAGAAACGGCAGCCCGTATACAAGTAAAAACTAGCATGGCGTAAATGCACCACTGTGGAAGCATGGCAAAGCAGAGAGTGGTGTCTTGATGCAATTGTGAGGAAGGGGCTATATGGAGTAAAGATGAATTTTAAAAACCACAGAATTTAAAATCCTGTGCCCAGATGCAAAACTATACTTGTATGAGGAAGGGGCTAGAGTTTATTGATAGTGCCTGGGGGTTCAGCGGCTTTTCAGTTGTTATTTTATGTTGCTGAGGACACTGTTTCTGGTTGAATTTTAAAACCGAGATGACCGTACTTGCTTTGGCAGTACATATACTAAAACTGGAAAGATACTGGGGAGATTAGCATGACCTCTGCATGAGAACGACATACAAATTCATGAAGTGTTCCATATTTTGTCTAACATTTCTGTAGACACTGGGGACTACTGGGTGTGAGGAGGAACAAGGGGTGAAAACTAACTACTGGGTGCTATGCTCACTACCTGGGTGACGAGATCAGTCGCATCCCAAACCTCAGAATCACAAAACATAAATACCCACATAGCAAACTTGCACGTGTACCCCTGAATCTAAAATAAAAGTTGGAAATTATAAAAATAAAATATGGTAAAAATAAAATTGAGATGACCAAAGAGATCATTTGAAAAACACAAACGCACTGCAAGTGCTGGCAGGCTTTGCTCCTACCTGTATCCATCTCATCCACGTTGCTAAGGAAGTCCTCTGGAGTTGTGGGGACACTGTAGCACCCTAACCCCAGGCCACTGTCAGTGCTCTGCTCCCTCGAATGATATGGTCCTCTGCAGAGCAAAAGATGGAGAAACTTCAACGTTAGCCCACTAAGTAAGTCTCAAAATTAAAACAAAGTCACAAAAGCTCTAAACTAGTGTAATTGTGCCATTCTGCCCAACTTTCCAGGTTGGGCAGGACAGAAAGCTGACTCTGATTCCCTTTAATTTTAAAATGTATAAACTCATGAAAATGAAAGTAATCATGTGTGGTCATTCACAATAAATTGACATTGAATTCCTTTTCACCACAAATTAACCATTTGAACACTCTTCTACATACAGAGTATGACACCATTTATGTAAGACTTTTTAAAAAACAGAAACAATGTTGAATGTTGCTTATGGATACACACACTGACAGGCAGTAAGAGCTATAAAAATCTATGTGATGGACACACACCACTTTCTGAACAAAAGGAACAAAAGGGAACAAAAGGGAAAAGAAATAAAATTTCAGTGGTTGGGGGATGAATTCAAATACTAATTATAATCTTTATTTATTAAAAATAAGATTGGATGAAAATATGGCAAATCTGGGTAATGGGTACATGGGTAACTCATGTTATCCTTTCTACTTTTCTGTATTTCAAATACTTTAAAATCAGCAACTTAAAAATTCCATTACTTATTATTTCAGCTACTGTTTGTTTTTATCTCTATCTTTAATAATTTTCATAATTGTATTTGTTTCCTTACCAGATGTTCCTGCAAGGGCCGAAGAAAAGACATAGGAAATAGAGCACTGCCCTTTTAATTTGATTTAAAACCTACTTCGGCTCATGAAGGTATTTCTGGCTAAATTCTCTTTCTCTTTTGCTCCTTTGTTTTAATTACTTTTTAAATTGTGAAATAGTTTTAAACTCACATAGAAGATGCAACAGGAGTATAGAGAATTCCCATGTACCCTTCCTTCACCAGCTTCCCCAGTGATAACATCTTACATAACCATAGTGCAATTACCAAAACCAGACTGTAGAATACTATTAAGTAAACTATAGACCTTACTCACATTTCACCCTGAACATCACATCATCTTAATTGTTCTGTTCTCAATTTGCCATACAGCATGCTTTTATCCCCATTGGTTACATAAAACCACAAGATTCTTCCAAGTACAAGTACTAGACAACACCATCGTGTTTAAATTATAGGTTCACGCCCATTTTCAAATTCTTAACTAGGGATTTACTCTGTATTATATCACCAATTTTTAAATTTGGGAATTTTAAAAAAATGTAGATGATTTTCCCTGCTTTACTTTTTTCTGCCAGCTCCTCCCACTTCCTTTCTTTATTCTCACCCTCCACCCTCAAGCTCCCCACCTCTTCCTAATGTAAACAAAGATCCTACTATAGTCTAATATGAAGAGAGCAAAATACGTGTGCCCCAAATGTTAACTTACCCATTGAGGAAAGGATCTGAGCTATTATTAGTGATGGATCTCATGTCTGGGGTCATGGCGGGCGGATTGACAGCAGCCTGAACTGGGGCAAGAGTCTCAGCTTCCATGGGGAGCTGTCGACAGAGGGCAGCTTCCTATAGAAGGAACAACAGAGTGGGAAGCAAGAGTCATTCACTCATTGTCACAAACCATGAGCAGAGTGTACTTCACATCAAAACTTTTCACCAAATATTTACTTCAAGTTAAAATCACCAGGCAACCATTAGTATTCTTTCTCTGAAGAAAGTCTTACAGACTAAATCACTTCACATTCACAAAGTTAATGGGAAGCTCAGCTATTATCTGACCTAAGGGCACTTAATGTTGCAATCATCCCACCCGTGCAATTATTTAAGCACCCAAATCATAGAAAGTCCTCTCAAAACACTTTCTCAGAGACAAGGCTATTTCTATCTCAGGTTCTCAAACCAAATTTACATCAGTCAAAGCAATCAGACTCCTCTGGACTATAAGGTACATTCTGGTCTTTGCCACTTACAGGCCAATAAAACTGTGGGATTAGAGTCCAGGCTCTAAACTGCATCTGGCATTTTTATGGTTACAGGTAGGAAAGCAAAACAATGAGTTGAAAAGTTTGCTTTAAAAAAGTCAATCAGTGGCCAGGCATGGTGGCTCATGGCCATAATCCCAGAACTTTGGAAGGTCAATGTGGGCGGATCACTGGAGCCCAGAAATTCAAGACCAGCCTGGGCAACATGGTGAAATGCTGTCTTTACAACAAATACAAAAATTAGCTGGGCATGGTGCTACTTGGGAGGCTGAGGTAGGAGGATCTCTCATGCCTGAGAGGTTGAGACTAAAGTGAGCAGAGATCACACCGCTGCACTCCAGCCTGGGTGACAAGTGAGATCCTGTCTCAAAAAAAAAAAAAAAAAAAAGTCGATCTATTTGACTACTTTGTGGACTAAAATTCTGGAGCTGGGGAGCCATGTAGATCCAATCCAAATTCCACAGACAAGTAACTATTTCATAGCATACGATTTTATTAGCAAAAACAAATAATACAAGCATTATTTTATAAAAACTAGCATTACGTTGCCAAGGAGAGTCAATCCAAAAGGTTGCAAATTTACTGACTGCAATTATTTCTCTAGGTGTAATCTCCAGGAGTCTCTCCATTTTCACAAACACGACCAGACATCAAATTCCTTTCAAATTTGCTGCTGTTTCCAGAAAAGAATACTTTTGTATGTTTACACTTGCATCCCAAACCAAGGTTAGGCCTTTCCCCATATTTATGCCTATCAGTTTCCCACTTTCCATGCTGAAGTCATTGGTCTCACCATCCCTCAAACCCTAAAACCATGGCTACAATGGCAAACAGAACACTTAGGACTTCTAAGTTATAGTATCTTTGTTAGATCTCTTCTAGCCCTAACATGCTGTGACTTCAGAGCGTAAATGCTGTCTAGACAAGTCCTGGTGAGGTCATCGGCTATAAAAATTTTCAGTTACTAGAGTTCATTGTGCTGCTACAAACCATGAGAGACCTGATTGATTTTTTTTTTAACTGTACTGTTTACTTATACTGAAATAAATCTTCTAGCTGGAAAGGGTCTCTGGCTCACTTCTGTTCATCTAGATCGTAAATAATCAAAATACCTAACAAACACATTTTATTCAGGAATCTATAAAAAGCAAACTGAAAAACATGGAGTTTTTTTGGTAAAAAGATTTCAACCATCATCTAAATCTTGGAAGTGCCTTCTGAATAAACCTAGAAAAATCAATTTATTTTCTGATAGTTGTTTTTAACATGACAGGCAAGGTGCATTAGAAATGTTATTATCCAGCCAAAGTTCTCCTGAAAGGCTCAGAAGGAACGACAGGGATTGAATCTGACATAAAAGCCTGGACCCCAGCAGTCCCCATCCCTCATGCATACTTACACACCCTGAGCCACAGTTTGAAAATTGTATCTGGTCATTGGTAAATTTCTAGTACTTTATTAACCATAAACGCAAGAATCTTTTGACTAATAATCCTTATTATCCAAAAACACAAGTTTTACTAGACTATTACATTTTTCAATGATTCTGAATAAATGTGGGAGTTTACCTATAAATATATATACTTTTAATATAAAAGTTGATGAGATGGCTGCATTCCTTTCTATTTGACAAAACTTTATCAACGTGTGTCTTAAGAATACTAGTTGAGGGTGTGGTGGCTCACACCTGTAATCCCAGCACTTTGGGAGGCTGAGGAGGGCAGATCATGAGGTCAGGAGTTCAAAACCAGCCTGGCCAACACAGTGAAACCCCGTCTCTACTAAAAATGCAAAAATGATCTGGGCATGGTGGCACGTGCCTGTAGTCCCAGCTACTCAGGAGGCTGCGGCAGGAGACTTGCTTTAACCGGGACCTGGGAGGCAGAGGTTGCAGTGAGCAGAGATTGTGCCACTGCACTCCAGCCCGGACTGCAGAGAGAGACTCCATCTCAAAGAAAAAAAAAAAAGACGAATGTGCAATTTCCAGGAGTTCTAAATTTAGATATAGTTTAGATATAGTAAGAATCATTTCTAGAGCTTCATGGGATTAAAAAAATACATTATATATAATATATATGAATTGTTATCTGTAATTATACATAAAATTAAATTACAATAATGAATATCAAAAATTAGATATAAAATAAATAGTTCTAAACTTTCCTATTAATTTAAATTACTCCTAGCTATTTCCAGTAAATAAAACATAAAATAATGCTGTGTGTGCCTAAATATATAAATAAAATTTAAGGGATTATTTAGAATAACCAAAGCTGAAAAGCCTATACTATGCTGGGGGAATGTTTCACTGTGCCATTTCACATTTGTTCTACCTATTTTAAATTAAAGAGAACAGAAGCTCTATTCTCCAGCATTGCCATTTCCTTAACTACCCTGAAGACTTAACCACCAAGTCATCCTAAGGGCAAATGCTGCCTTCTGTCTGTAGGGGGCTCACAGTATCACTTTCTACCTTCAACTGAGTAATAAATGAGAGAAAAATCAGAAAGGGTGTTGAATGATGTACCAGGAATAATAATAATAATAATTATTATTATTATTTGTTTGTTTGTTTTGAGATGGAGACTTGCTGTTGCCCAGGCTGGAGTGCAGTGATGTGATCTTGACTCACTGCAACCTCTGCCTGCCGGTT